CAAATTTAAAATAAACATTTGCATTTGAATGTTAGGTGTGCAATAGGGAGCGTCATCAGTGGTGCACAAGATGCGGTGATAACGATGTAAGTGACGTTGCATTTTAATGTTTTGTTAATCTAGCCCACGAGATGCGCCGCTGCTGTGTTATGCATTCAAAATATTAGAGAAATATAGAAGCTCAATGCGGAGTAAATACATGATGCTGTTTTGTTCATAACTGTTTATGCAATTTACGGAATTATATTTGATTTATATGAGTTAATGTAGACGTAATGCAGTTTTTTTATAGACATTTATTTCCTTGCGTTGACAATTTAAATGTGCTGCATTATTTTGCTCATTGCGCCCTCCTGTGGCCTCGGGAGACAAGCCAAAAGTTTCCTTAAGACCCATTTAATCTGCATATAAAACATTAGAAATTAGATATTTGTTTAATTTTTATTGTGTGTTTGACTGTTAAAACAAAAAAAATATTTGTTGTTTGTCTCAATAAATTGGGTTAATTTAAAAATACAGTGGTTAAATTTAAACATTTTTTCTATTGCTCTTTGTTTTACAAAAGGTTATAAAAATGTCAATAATTATCGATACAGAACGATATGAAACATTATATCGTGTATACATTTTTTAGCTATATCGCCAAGCCCTATTTGAGACTTTAGTCTTTGCAACTTTAGGGATCTTATCTATTCACGAATAGCTTGTAAGACTCCAAAGAGAAAGGAAAACTTGAAATCGCATCATATGACCCCTTTAATATTATTATCACCATGTTCATTAATGATAATTATTATTATTAACAACAACAACAACATTAATTATAATAACAATTATTATTAATATCACAACCATGATCACCATCATTAATGAACATTGTTTATTATATTAATATTTTTAATATTATTTATTATTAAAAACGATAATTCAATCAGTCTGAAATGTCATTCTGGTTACCTGCGCGTGACAACAGAGCAGACCTCCGTATCGCTATGACTGGAGCTCATCCGCTCTGATGGAGGAGGGGCATTTGAAGAAGTCACCGCCCCCATCGCTATAGTCCCTCCCACTACATTTCCATTGGCCATTGCGTATGAAAGCTGGGATGCTGTGTTTCCATTAGCATCCAAGGACTCTTTCTGCATGCGGGGGTAGAAGTTGTTGTGGTGGGACATGGAGCGGTTGAGGTTCACCAAGCCAGGCTGGTGTCCATCGGGATGTTGGACCTGGGATTGAGCAGACCCAGGGGCTGTAGGGTTGGTGCTGGTTGGGTCAGAAGTGGAGGAGAGGCTGGTTTTGGGGCAGCCATCAGGGTTGTAGAGCATTGGGTAACCTCGACGGAGAACCACGTCCACACTGTGACCCATGGGGACGGATTTCAGCATTTCTACAACCTCTTTATGGGACAGACCCAGCACACATGAGTCATTGATGTACACTAGGATGTCCGCTGAGAGAGAAAGACAGAGCGAGAAACATTTGGATTTACACATGTGGGAAATCATAACCAATCAGTATAATGAGGAATCAAAATGTCCTTAATTTTGTAAATTTAAGAAATTCAGTGAACAATAAATCCTGCTGTAACTTTCAAAACTTCCTACCAGTCGAAAAAGTCTGACCTTTGTCTGAGTTTTATGAACTAAGGGTCAGAGAGGGTTGAAAATGGTCATGATAAAAGAAATAATAACTAAAATCAATAAAAAATAATTTATCAACTAAACTACACTAAAAAAATAAATAAATAAAAATTTGGTACAAAAAAAGACAAACCTCAAAGGAATTTAGTTAAGGTACCATGTGACCCCTTTTAAGGATAAATGAGTGTGTGTGTGTGTGTTTGGTTTTGTTAGTACACGTGAGTGGACAGCGCTGTGTGTAAGAGACAAGCAGATTAAAACCTACAGGCCCATCTGGATTAAGAGCAGATGAGCAGATTCAAACCATGAGACCCTCCAAATCACCAAATACACACACACACACACACACACACACACACACACACACACACACACACACACACTTTGCCGGATTATATGAGGAAATAATTCCATACAGTCATCCATCCTGCAGAAGTATTATTCTCTTGTTCTGTCCCCCAACACACACACTCTCTTTCTCTTTCCTTCTTCCTTATATTCCTGCCTGGTAATGAGAATGTGTTAATGAGAGTGAGAGATCTTTCAGGTATAGCGTAATTTATCAGAAAGGCATAGTTTAAAAAAGGGGAAAAAAAGAATGAGAGAAGAGACAGCCCTTCAAAGAAATTCTATTCTTCTTATTTCTGAATGTTTGATGAGACATTGAAAAGTTTTCTAACGTCATGCGGCCCGAACAGTACAGAACAGTACGCTGTCTAATAACGCTTCACAGAAAAATGACTTCCAACCAGATTTAATTAACTGATAAGAGGGGCTTCAAATTAATTTTTCAAGGATGTTAGATTTTGATTAAGAAACTCCTAAAAGAAACAGACGAATATTCAATTTTTTAATCAACTTACTCACACACACACACACACACACACTCTCTAATCCAGAGAGAGAGAGAGAAAGAATGTCAAGGGATTTCCTGCCTAAAATAAAAGTGAGGATTGGAGGGATAGATTAAAGGATAGGGAGAGGAGAAAAGCAAACAGCTCATGCTCCTGTGGTAAAATCTATCTTTTATCCATCCGGTCCTTTTCTCTCCCCTGGTTTTTCTGCCATCTATAAATGATCTGATTTAAATTCAGATCTATGGGGCTTTTTGTCTTCTAAGCATAAAAAGAGGATGTTAAAGTCAGCAGTACCATTACATCACATATGATTCACAATGTCCTTAAGAGCCCCCTGCACAAATCTGTGTGTGTTATTAAATTATTATATCTGTCATAAATCTATAAATATTTAAAGAACTGACCGCTGAAGTGCCATCTCCTCTACTGCAGATTTATACAGAAGCAGCAAAAAGCAGAAGCCACTTAGCAGTTTCCAAAAGAGAATACTCGTGTTGCCAGGGTAATATGAATGTGGCATGCAGGGAAATCTTTGATTCTTTTTTTATTATTAGTATTATTTCACCAACTTTCTATTTAAAATTGTAATTGTTCTCATTGTGAAATTAGAATAAAAGTAACCGGATGAAAACATTAAACATTACAGTTGATGCCTCTGTGAATATGTTTGTGCAAAGTGTCATACTGAGGAAAAACGAGTAATTTAACATTAAAAAAAGACTGATTCATGCCATTTTTTCCTTTTAAACAACAAAAACAGCTTTACTGAAAAATAAGAATAATCGTCATCATAATATTCCTGAATATGCTTGTGCAAAGTGTCATATTGAGGAAAGACGTGAGCAATTTAACATAAAATGACTGCTTTTTCATTTTTCTTTTAAATAACAAAAACGGCTTTACTGAATAATAATAATAATACAGTAGTAATTTTACATGACTATTAAGAAATATTTATGCCTCAATTCACCCACCATTGGAACATCGTGCCGTTTTTATTTTAGATCCTAATCACTGCTATAATTTGCTTTTAGCTTTTTGTGTGACAGTGTTTGCAATACAGTGCCAGCTGCATCTGTTTTATGTTTTTTTAAAGGACACAGGGTTAAAACTCACCTGCTTTGAGTGTAGACGGGCCTCCAGGGGTGACACTGTACACCTGCAGGAACTCTCGAGGTCTACTGCCACCCACAATGTTAAAGCCAAACCCACGAGGCCCTTTCGACAGGCGGGTGTGTATGGAATAGCCCTTCAAGTCAGATGGTTGGTCTATGAATGCAGGTACTAGTTCACACACACACACAACAAACAAACATAAAAGTAAGTATCTATACATGAGATGCTAAGTCCACAGAGTTTTAGCAATGCCTTTAAGCCAAACCGCCTACACTACAGTGTTTCAGGATGGAGTTGATTGCTAAACAACAGTGCCATCTGCTGGGATGTGGGCTGTACTGGTTATACTCTGTATAAAATGTTCAATCACACTTTTTATATTTTGCAGTAAAATGTGCAGTACTGGCAAAATGTGCAGCATACAACAGAGCACTTTTTTAACCTTTTTCTTTCAGTTTGTTTCATTCATTATTTGAACAGACTGCCAAACATTAAATTTTTTCCTCAAACTTGCATCTAAAAATTTTAAGTAACCACATTTACTTCCAGCATGATAACTGGACTCCAACCGCTGAATTAAACACGCAATGTAAAGAGGTCATGTGACAATACAGTATGCTACCATCTCAAACCTGCGAAATGTATATGGTTTCACAACAGTAGGCAGTATACCATATATACTACACACTATTTGTTTTTCAAACTTCTAAAACTTTTTTCCTTGTGGTTAAATTAGATTTCAGATATTTATGCACATAAATGTATTTGCACACATGGGCTTCCTACACATATGTGCATAGTAACAGACAAAATGACTTCTGAAGATCACTCAGCTCAGAAGTGATGATAGCAGACATGACCTTCTCAAATCTAAGAGAGCGTGCTTTGAGTGATAGATAACATTAAAGGATAAAGAGAGATGGAAAGTGAATGGGCGAGTGGGGAGAGACGAGGGGATCGTGGATAAGGTTTGAAAGGCAAAGGAAACAAGGGATAAGATGAAGGCGTGAGAGAAAGACTAAATGGCTCCAGGAAGGTTTGCCATTAATCTTTGTGTGAAGACTGCAGAGAGAGCGAGAGTATGTTTGGGGGCAAAAATTGGAGAGGAGCCAAGCTCACACACACATGCACACATATACACTCACACTCTGTCTTGCTGACAATCTCTTTGCCCTGAGTCCTTGGGTCCAGCCAGCTTGTGGTCTTTGAGTTATGGCTGAAAAATTAGAGAAATGAGAGAGACTTTTTTCCCCTCACAAGGTTTCATCAGCAACTTTAAGATGAAATACAACTACAGTTCTGAGAGCAGTAAACATTAAGAGGACTTAATTTTCATAGATAAAGGCAAAGATTATGCAGTTTTCACTGACGTGCATCTTAAAGTTCAAATGTCGCCCTTATTTTACACAAAATTGCATCAAAATACAGAATAACCACATTAAGCGGACTTAATTTTCATAGATGTAGGCAAATATTATGCATTTCTCATTGACATGCATTTTGAAGTTCAAATGTCTCCCTTTTTTTTACACAATTTAATCAAAAATACAAAATAACCCCATTAAGTGAACATAATTTTCATAGGGGAAGGCAAAGATCCTGCGTTTTTCATTGACGTGCATTTTAGAGTTCAAATGTCATCCTTTTTTGCATCAAAAATACAAAATAATCACATTTACTTCCAACATGATAACTGTACGCCCCCCGCTGAATTAAACATTTCTCATTGAAGCACATCTTAAAGTTCATGAGTCGCCTTTGCATGTCAAAAATCCAATGTGACATACAAAGGCATTATGTCAACTTTGACTATAATCTTTGATTACTGGAGGAAGCAAATGACCTTCTGTCTCTAATCTTGCCCACTCTATTTCTCACTATACCGTCTATATATTTTCCTTCTCCTCCTGCTGACTCACTTGATGTAATAGGGTTCGCCCGTGTCACTGAACGCCAGCTCCCAGTTTTCAGGCAATGCCCCTCCACGTGCTCCATTCTCCATGGCAACCCCTCCATCCTGCCCACCGCCTGAATCCCAAGTCTGATTAGGTGAGACAATGGTGGTGGGCGGGGCACTGCTGGCTCCTACAGACCCCGCTGGGAAACAAAGTACAGTGATTTGTACAGTGCCGTCTTGTATAAGCTTAGGCAAACTCAGGCCATCAAGTGGTCACGCTGTTCATGTTACTCTCCTCTTGCCAGCTCTAATATGAGAAAGGCATCAATCCTAAATACAATTCCATAGTTTTTAATGTCAAAAACATAAAAATGTAAGCATGTCCTGGTTGAGTGTTCAAAAACTGTGGGTTTAAATTGCAAAATGGTTAAAAACTTCAGTCAAATCCAGAGATGCCGGAAGATTCAGCATGCCACAAAAACTCAACATACTGTATATTGCACACAATATTTAAGCAACAACAAAGTAACTTCTCATTGGCTTTAGCTTAATGTTAGGCTTTAAGTTTTATGTTAGTTTTAACAATGGCTTTTAGAAGATAAATGTATTGTCTGTGTAACAGTGGAAGGAGATAATTAATTTTGGAAAAAAAATTAACTTAAGGGGAGCACATATAGAGGAGAAAATTAAAAGGCCTAATACCTAAACTTGTGTCTTGGGGTACACCATGAGTTATAGATCCTGATAAAAAAAGAGAAGTTCCCAATCTCAACAGAAAATGTTTCCTAAATATATTACTGTACCATGAGATAGGAAGTTGCTTGCATTTAAAAATACTTGTTTAAGAAATGAAAACAACTCATTTCAAAATAAAGGTGGACCCAACAGCTGAATACCTGAAAGACCAGAGTCTTCCTCGCTGTTGTCCCCTTCCTCCACTGCCTTTTCCAGGTTGCTGAGCGATTTGCTACGGGTACGGAAGTTCCTCAGGAGATTTCGATGTTCCTGGTATGTAATAGGGGGACTGTCAGGACTGATGTGGACTGGCCGAGGTGTGCCATAATAGTTCCCTGTGATGATGGAGATTTTTTAGAAATGGCCTCTATAAACCCACAATTGAAAAATTTTTCCAATCAGCAAAATTAAAAAACAATGGCCTTTAGACACAATGCTTTACATGCGCTAACTGAAACAGTCCTTGACAAGATCATCCATTTTCAACCTAAAAACTATTGTTCCTTGAGTCGATTTTTTTGAGGCAGCCAAAGAGCCATTTCTACAATTGTGGACCAGAATAAGATAATCAAAACAGCTTGAGACAGAAGGCTTTGGATCTCAATTTTCAAAAACAAAAAGGTATTAATCCAGCAAAATACAAACCCTATGAGAACACCATTAACATTGAAAAGAAAAATGAATCCAAAAAACATTCAAATTTACAATTACCTGACATACAAACAAACATATAAAACCCTGGTAAATTTATGTCTAATTTAATACAACATTCTTCATTATATATGGCCAGCATAACAATTGTGAAATGTTAAAATTAACATGAATTAACATGAGCCCCTTATTCCTGTAGTAACAACATGTACTCAAATGGGCATGAACTCCACAAGTCTGGCAAGAGCTCCACAAAATCTGATGATCCATGCTATTCTGCATGATTTGAGTGGATGTTCCAAAAGATCATCTTGTGCTTCAATGGAAACAAGAAAATCTGACCTTTTGTACCAAGGACTTCACATGATCAGTGTCATAAATTTGCTTACTTGATTAGTGAAATAGAAATAGTGCAGAATTAATTTTATGTCATAATATTTCTTAATTTCAAAACTCAAATCTTAAAAATCCTAAATTTTCCTCATTTAAAATAATCTTAAATTTAAAAGCCATTTCCAATGGTTCATGTGACCCCAATGTATCTTTCAAAGTAGAACTTCTTGTATCACTAGTTTTAATGATAAAGTTCAAGTTGTACATTTTATCAAAAGAGGAATTTTTCCTGCTCCTGGCTGCCGCTGCCGCTGCCCTAGATCACACTCTCTTTAAAACCCTTAATCACAGCTGTTATGAAACTAATAAACTGACAGGATGTTCCAGAGCTCTTTTAGCAACCAGATCAATGGCGAAAACATGAGATTAATCCACCTCTGAATAACAACCTCCAAAATGCTAAAGTAAAAGCGTACAACATAAATGTTCAGGTGAAAAAACACTATTTACACTATAAGACCACTAGGGGCACACAATCCTTCGCAGTTAAGAGAGTTTACATGTTTGGCACTTTCAGTGATATTTAACCGCAGCATAACTCCCTCACTGCAGCTTATTTACAACTGGAGAAAAAAATAAACAGAGCGAGAGGGAATGGGGGTGGAGGGGTGATCGGAGACAGAGAAACTGAAATAGGGATTACAGAGAAAAGCCTCTTTTCTCCAGTACAGAGTGATAGAAAAGTAGGAGTGTGGTGTGTTTTCTGACTGGAGAGATATGACTCATGAGCTGCAGGGCATCACTGCTCAGGTGTTAAAAACACATTTGTTATTAATTATAGACGTATTAAAATGTATCAAATCTCACCTTTCTAGATTTTTAGGGGGTCATTAAGGTTGTATTAAGAAATTAGTACTTTTATTTAGCAAGAATGAATTAAATTTATCAGAAGAGACAGTAAAGGCATTTATATTGTTAGAAGTAATATTTCCATTTCTATTTCAAATGCTGTTCTTTTGAAGTTTTTATTCATCAAAGAATCCTGGGGAAAAAATGCATCACGGTTTCAACAAGAATATTAAGCGGCACAACTGATTTCAATATTGATAACAACAAGAAATGTTTCTTGGTCACTAAATCAGCATATTAGAATGATTTCTGAAGGATCATGTGACACTGGAGTAACAACTGCTCATTCAGCTTTGCCATCACAAGAATAAATTACATTTTATAATATATCCAAATAGAGAACAGTTATTTAAAATTCCACAATATTATTGTATTTGTATTGTATTTTTGATCAAATAAAGCCTTGGTGAACATAAAAGATTTTCAAAAGCCCCATTCGTTTGAACAGTCGTGTATATATATATAGAGTAAAGATTTTGGCAGGGTAAGTAAATATCTAAAGGTCTAAATAAAAAATAAATAAAATGAAACAAAAAGAAGTCCCTATTGTTGATAGTGACATGGTCAGTGACTGGACCATGAGTCATCAGTCATCAGCAGGTTTGCATAAAAACCACACAACCATTTTTATGTGGGATTGAGATGGACATAATAAGTGAACAATATCTTTCTTACTTTTCAAAGACAAAGGAAAGTGGTGCAGCGGCATCAAAAACACGAGTCAGTGGAAACATATTCATAAATCCAAGACCTGCAACTTTGAAGGATGTCATAGTGTGAATCTGCAGCTTTGTGTGAGACCCTTAACAAAGACATCAGCAGGCTCAGACATCAGTCTGTGTTACACGCTTGTTCTCTCTCCATTAGGGCTCTTTTCAGCTCTTTCTGCTGATAATGTTGGAGGACAGAACCGAGCCAGCACGGCACTTTTCTCCGCAGTCTGGAGGGTGCTTCTCTTGATTCTGATTGGCTTGAGCATTTGGAGCTCTGGCGTGACGCCCTGACCCTCACCATGTGTTCACGAGCACACACAAACTCAAAATGCATGCACACACAAACTCAGTAGAACAGTAAATAACTCTTATATCCAAAACAAGGCCTGTCTGTTCCATATATTTGCATATGAATTTGTCTGAATATGAATTTTGTGAATTTGTGAGTTAAATCTGTGGAATAGAATGGATTTAAACAAGGTAAAATGTGTAAAACACACATACTGGTAGCTGGATCAAATCAGCCTAAATATTTAATAAACAAATATGAAGAACTTAGTGAATGGTGGTCTGAGTTCTGCAGTTGCAGTTTTTGTGTATGTTATGTTATGTATGTTATGTTGCAGTTTGCTCATAAGCAGTTTTTTTTTTTTTTTTGAGCATTTGATATTTTAATTTGTTATTTGAGAGAAAATATAATTGTTTGATAAGCAATGAAATAACTGTTTAGATCAGTGCTTCTCAACCTTTTGACTCAAAAGCCCTCCACTGTCCACAACAATTTTAAAATCCCCCCAAGCCCTAATTTTGTTTTAAAAACCTATTTAATTTCATGGGCAATCATAGTTTTTGAAAAGAAAAATTTAATAAAATAAACTAAGTATAATCGGGAAAAAAAAAAATTGCTTGGTGTAACTAGACAAATTTATTTTTATTACACAAATGCCCATGGCACTTTATTTTATTCATTTATATTATTATATAATTTCCAGGTCTAGAAATCTTACTTGTAAAATTGAACTTTCTCATATATTCAGGTTTTACAAGACCATGGGAACCCTGAAATTGTTATTTAGTTGTTTTAGCTCATTTTAGTATTATTTTAAATAATTTTAAGTCATGTTGAGTCCCCAATGGAACCCCCTGGTTAAGAAACAATACTGATTCTGACCTTTGAACTTCCCACTTTCCAGCAGGGCTCCAGACTCTTCCAGGGAGAAGAATTCCTCAATGGACACAAAGTTATAATCCACCCCTGAGATCTCTCCATCTCGTGGTTGCCTGGTCGTACCTGGGTCAAAGCAGGGAGAGCAAACATAAGAATGTAATTAGAAAAAAAATACAATGTTTTTGCTTTTTGCTTAACTTAGCAAAAAAGACGTATGAATTTGTTATAAGTAGACAACAAGCCATTTAAATGGAGAATGTAAACATAGAAAGGCCAGTAGTGCTACAAACATATAAGGCATTTTAAAAGATCATTATTTTTTCATAACTTGCATCTTCCCTTTGCTAAAAATCTAATGCATTAAAAAAAAAAACACATCCTGATGACATCACCAGGAGGCAAGTCTGCTTTGATGCATTTGATGTTAGGATCTACAGAACCTCAGAAAACAGAGACGCAGCTGTCTCACTCACACACATACTTGTAGCAAGTTGATTGGCATTGATATAGAAAGCAGGCAGAGTTTAATGTCTGATGTGAGTGTCAAATGAAGTTAAAATCAGTTACATAACAGCGTTTACATACTAACTATATATTAAACAAACTGTCTGTGCGTCTGTTTGCATATGACTTTGGCGGTGTGAGGCGACACCTGGTTATGATTTCACACACTTCAGACTTGCTCTATAATCCCACAGTGATGAGATTATACAACTTCCTCTCAGTTTTCCATCTCAAATGAAAGTTGAGAAAAGTGGATTTTCCTGAGGTAGATTAGCAGTGCATCCCGATTTAGGCTAAACTGATCACTGCAACTCTCTGGCGTTGCGAAGAGATAGAGTAGGAAACAAGCACACTTTGATCAATCGACCTTGCCAACATAACAAATGGCTCTGAAGCTAAAGTCTTCAGGTAGAGAAAAGGTACGTGGTTTATGAGGTAGCGCACATATCGCATGGATACAATGCATAGTTACTCAACATCAAGCAGGACTGTAATGACTTAAAAGCCTTCAGCCATTATATACAATAAATCATCCATTAATAACAAAACACTGCATTGTCCCAAGCCCATATATGACATCACAGCGCCTGTATTGCATTAATCCTACTGACAGCCCATGCAAAAAGCATATGAGAGTGTTTTTTTCTTTTGAAATAATGACATTTCAAGGCAACAAATTTGAACCTATACATTCACTCTGAAATTAATCTCTAATGAATGTGTAGAATGAGACATTAAGGATTTTGACATTGAGGGCTTTTTACATTCGTAACGTGACATTTCTGAGTCTGGATATTTAACAGGGGAAAAAATGTATCCATCAGAAACTGATTGGATTGTGAAAAGCAGGCGTAAATTTTCAGAACGGAGCCAGGTAGTTGGGGTTGAAATATAGCGATCTGTGATGTTAGCTGAAAAGGACAGTTGAGCAAGTTATTACATCTTGATGAAAGATTACGAGGAAACTTTTTTTTTTTTCTTTGGGAATAACATGTACTGATGAATTACGCAAAATAAGACCAGGAATGTGTTTTAGAAAAGTAAATAATGCTGACTTCATGTTGACTCTAAAAGCCCCAATGCAACCCCATGCTAACTATTTAGCATGACGTTCAGCACCTGGTTAAACATAGCAACGTACATTTATACTGACACACCTGTGCTATTTTATCCTAAAAGAACAGATAAGAGGAGCATCTTACATTCTTCTAATTGCCTGCAATCTATTCAGAGAAGTGACAGAAAAATTAGCTGCTTTATGGTGTCAAAATAATGATGTGATGAATAAACATGTCAATTGGGAAAGCCTTTTTTTCGAGTAGACAGGCTATATAACTGAACCGACAGATAAAACGTTATGTGAATGGATGCACAAATATGAGTGTGCTTATGTGTACATTCACAAGCATGCGTGAATGGGTCTGTGTTTGGGTGCTGACGCGTTTATGCGTATATGCATGCACAGGAGCACTGAAAGGCACAGCAGGGTACCTCAGGCTGGAGACAAAGACAAATGTGCAGCTTTGGGATTCAAGAGCAGGAAATAGGTGAAATTTGAATCATGCGGGATGGATTAAATGCATCAGCTGTTATGGTTTTAAAGGGGCCGGCAGGAGCTATACATTAATAAATGCATGCAATCATTTCTGAAAATAGTTGCAGTTTTGTTGCCAAGGCAAAATATGGAACACTGCCATTCACAATGAGCACACTGCTGTGACATTCGATGACAGTTGCCATGGCAATGGTTAAAGTGCATCGCATTGCCTCAAAGTGGCTGAACCTTTGACTCCGCATGAGGCTTGACGTGATTGTAAACTGGATTTGTTTACAGTCTCTGAGAGCATCAAAGCATGAGATTACATGCATGCTTTTGCTGGCTGATGTATTTCAGTATCTTTCTCATTTGTGTTTTTAATGCAGTTGTTTTACTGCAGGGTTTTCAACCTTTTTCAGGCCAAGAAGCCCTTGGTGGACAGAGAGAAGCAGCAGGGAGTCATTTTACATATTGTATAATCTCGTGTAGCCAGACCTACTGTATGACTAAAAAGCATGAGGTCTGGTCCATATGCATTTTGTTAAATAATGGCGTGGGGGTCTATGAAGAGTTTTAAGGAAAATAATAGAAAAAATGTATTAAAAATGTGTCAAGTCAGTGATCAGAGTTTTGCTTGTGCAAAAATTAATACAAAAGGTTTTTTGCCCATTCATTTCACTTTTTTATTTCCTGAACTGGAAGACGAAACACAAAACTCAAATGAAATTTGTATAAAACTAATCCAAAACACTTATGTAGGCAGTTGAAATCAGATTAAAATTATTTATTTTTATGCAGTTGTCTGTGTCAAATATGTCCAGATCTGAATAGTGCTAAACTTAATATATGACACAGCATCTACTGTACCTCTAAAGTCTCATGCATGGTAAACCTACATTTCGTAAGTCAGTAACTGCAACTTACAGTTTAAACAGACAGTATAAAAACTTAAAAAAAAAAAAAAAAAAAAAAAAAATTTTTCCCGAG